TACAGGACATCTTGGGGCCAGGTGTGAGGTACGGTCTCATAAGGGGAACAGGTGTGGAGCATGGTCTTCATAAGGGGAACAGGTGTGGAGCATGATCTTATTGGGGTGATAGATGTGGTCAGGGCCTCATCAGGCCAGGTGGGGCTTTTGGATGACAGTTTAAGAACAAGGCAGTGGGGTGTGGTGGCTCACACCTGTAATCCCAGCACTTTGGGAGGCCGAGGCGGTTGGATCACCTGAGGTCAGGAGTTTGAAACCAGCCTGGGCAACGTGGTGAAACTCTGTGTCTACTAAAATACAAAAATTAGCTGGGCATGGTGGTGTGCACCTGTAATCCCAGCTATTCAGGAGGCTGAGGAAGGAGAATTGCTTGAGCCTCGGAGGTGGAGGTTGCAGTGAGCCAAGATTGTGCAACTGCACTCCAGGCTGGTGACAGAGTGAGAGTCCATCTCCAATAATAATAATAATAAAAGTAGGGGCAGGCACAGTGACTCAGGCCTGTAATCCCAGCACCTTGGGAGGCCAAGGCATGTGGATCACCTGAGGTCAGGAGTTTGAGACCAGCCTGGCCAATATGGTGAAACCCCGTCTGTACTAAAAGTAAAAAACTAGCCAGGTGTAGTGGCATGTGCCTGTAGTCCAGCTACTCAGGAGGTTGAGGCAGACGAATGACTTAAATCTGGGAGGTGGAGGTTGCAGTGAGCCAAGATGACACCACTGCACTCCAGCCTGGGCTACAGAGCAAGACTTGGTCTCAAAAACAAAACCAATAGTAGTAACAATAAGAAGAGCAAGGTGCTATGACTCATGCCTATAATCCCAGCAGTTTGGGAAGCCAAGGCAGGAGGATCACTTGAGCCCAGGAGTTCGAGACTAGCCTGGGCAACATAGCCATACCCTGGTCTTTATAAGAAATAAACAAAATTAGGCTGGGCATGGTGGTTCATGCCTGTAATCCCAGCACTTTGGGAGGCCAAGGTGGGTGAATCACTTGAGGTCAGGAGTTCGAGACCAGCCTGGCCAACAAGGTGAAACCATGTCTATACCAAAAATACAAAAATTAGCCAAGCATGGTGGTATGTGCCTGTAATCCCAGCTACTTGGGAGGCTGAGGCAGGAAAATAGCTTGAACCTGGGAGGCAGAGATTGCAGTGAGCAGAGATTGCACCACTGTACTCTAGTCTGGGCGACAGAGTGAGATTCTGTCTCAAAAATAAAAAATAAACAAACAAAATTAGTCAGGCATAGTGACACACACCTGTAGTCTCAGCTACTCAGGAGGCTGAGGTGGGAGGATCACCTGAGGAGTTCAAGGCTACAGTGACTTATGATTGCACCACTGCATTCCTGCCTGGGTAACAAAGCAAGACCCTATCTCTAAAAATAAAAATAAGAACAAGCAGAGTCATTGCAGAATTTATTTATTTATTTTTAGTTTTAGTAGAAATGGGATCTTGCTGCATTACCCAGGCTGGTCTTGAACTCTTGGCTCAAACAATCCTCCTGACTCGGCCTCCCAAAGTGCTGGGTTAATAGGCATGAGCCACTGTGCCCCGCCCATTGCAGAATCTAAGCAGGGGAGTACTGTGACCAGACTGTCATATGTTGGGATCTCTGGGGCTGCAGGCTGTGTGTCCTGGGAGGTAGAGAAGAGCTATTCAGTCAGAGATGGTGGCCTAGGCAGATGTGGGCGATGGCGGCAGAGGACAGTGACTCAGTTCCAGAGGTGTTTAGGGGTAAAAATCGGGGAGCTTGAGAATGGATGCAGTGAGGGGTGAGGTAGAGGCAGAACCTCCATGCTTCTGCCTGGGATGGTACTGGATGGAAGACTGGATGTGGAGCAGTGTTAGAGAGCGGGTGGAGGCTGCTGCCACTGCCATATTGGCCAGAGGTTCGAAGACTCACTGATTCCTCTGATCAGTCAGCCCTTGTTTCTTAAATTCCCTGGGATCCAGGGAGGAGTCATCTACCTGGGCCTGACTTCAGACACCCCCAGCCACAGAGGGACCAGGGCAGCAGGCGGATAAAGCCCCTAGGAGGGGAGTGGTTCCAAATCCAGGGGTCAATTAGAGCAAGATACTTAGTCTCTGTACCTCAGTTTCTTCACATGTAGAATGGTGGGAATGGAGGTCCCACTTCGTTGGGTTGCTCTGGGGACCAAACAAGCTACTCCAGGGAAAACCCTGTGACAGTGACTACATGGGGTAAGCGCTGTGTGTGTGAGCGTCTGACTGTGTGAGGTTCCATTGTGGCACCAGGGAAGAAGAGGTCTCTGCATCTGGGAGGGTCCCAGAGGAAGCAGCCACATTCCTGGGCTTCAGCAGAGGTGGATGGGACATGAGACACAGCAGATCCTGCTCTGAGCTGGCCGCCGAGTGGTGCCAGAGACATATGACATGTCCAGCTGGCCCTGTCTCTAGAACGCCTGTGGTTTAGCAGCAGAGGCAGAGAAGAAACAGATATTTTCCAAATTGGGTGAGGGGTTAAGATCAAGTGGTGTCCAGGGAGTAGGGGTCCATGAAAGGCATCCTAGTGTAGCAAAGGCATGAGGGTCCCTGGAGGGATGGATGGGATCCAGCTCTGCAGGGTAGATAGGCACCTCAGGCATAGCCAGAAAGAAGCTGGCACGAGAGAGAGGGGTGGCGAGTAGCCCAGGAATGTGGTGGGGGAGGCATTGGCTGCCTGGGATGCCATTCAGAAAGGCTACACTCGGTCAAACCAGAGCAGGATCTGTTGGGAACCTGTTCTTTGCAAGCTCTAGGCTGCCCCACTGAGCCAGACAGGCAAGGAACCTGTAATGGGATGAAGACAGCCCATCTCCATTCGTACTAAGAACAGGACGATGGAGTCAGGTGCAGTGGCTCACGCCTATAATTCCAGCACTTTGGGATGCCAAGGTGGGCAGGTCATCTGAGGTCAAGGAGTTTGAGACCAGCCTGACGAATACAGTGAAGCCCCATCTCTACAAAAATATAAAACTTAGCCGGGCATGGTGGCATGTGCCTGTAATCCCAGCTACTTGAGAGGCTGAGGCAGGAGAATCGCTTGAACCTGGAAGGTGGAAGTTGCAGTGACATGAGACTGAACCACTGCACTCTAGCCTGGGTGACAGAGCAAGACTCTGTCTCCACAAAAAAAAAGGTGGGGGGTGCCATGGTGAATGTGAGAGAGGAACCTGAGGTGGGGGTGAGGTGGTCTGGAGGCTGCTTTGGGGAGGACTGAAGAGGTGGGTGTGATGGGAGCCTGGAATGGGGAAGAGCTGGGGGGAGAACATGTGCAAAGGCCCTGAGGTGGGCATAAGCCTGCTGGGTTGAGGAAAGAACAGGCCATGATGGCTGAAGCAGAGCTGGCAAGACAGAGGATGTGAGGGGAGGCTGGCTGGGCAGCTGAGCCCCAGGTCGCCAGGGCCTCTTGGCCATGAGAGGATTTTGTCTTAGGTGCTGGGGGAAGCCATAGCAGGTTTTAAACAGGAGACTGCCCCCTTAGCTTATATGTGAGGAATGGATTGGGAGGTTATGAGTGGCAGCAGGGGGTGCCGGTGAGGTGGCCAGTGCTGTGGTCAGGAGTAACATACCAGTGACCCATGCCTGGGTGGCGGAGGTATGAAGAAATGAACAGATCTCAGGACTGTTTTGAGAGCAGAGCTGCTGTCCTTGCCTAGCCCAGCAAGAGGCAGATATCTGGCCCAAGGGACGGCACCAGGAGTGAGTGAGGAGGAGGCCAGTGTGGGAACAAAGGATGGGGGGGGTCCTTAGGCTTTCAGGAGGAAGTGGGATCTTGAGTGCTGGCCCCCGGACTGGAGCCCACCTGAAAGGCCATTGCTTCCTCCTCTCTGAAATGAGAATGTGGCCACCACGCATGGCCTTGCCAGAACAGACCCCCAGTGGGTGCTTAAAATAATTGGAGTCCTACATTAGCTGTGACAATTCCCATGACGATTCATGTATTAGTCATAAAAGTGGCAAGCGTACAACAAAGGGGATAGAAGCTCCCTACGCTCGACACCCAGGAATTCCCAGAGAGATTCTCTGAATCCACATTCTGGGCCCCTGCCACACTGCCGCCTCGGGATGATGCTTTCAGGGCTGTGCTGTTTCGCTCTGCTCTGCGGCTGTATTGAGGCTGGTGCCATCTCTCCCTTACCTGGCTTTAGCTGTTTAGCCTGTGCCATCTCCCTCTCTGTTTGGGGTCATCTTTGGGGTCTATGTCCTCTCTCCCCAACCCTGGATTTCACAGTGGGCCTGTCTGCTCTCCCTTTGACCTTGGGTTTTGTTTTCAGCCTGTGCCACTTCTCTCTACCTCGTGGTTACCTTTTGTGCCATCTCTCACTGACCTTGGGTTGGTATTTGGGTCCTGTGCCATCTGTTTCTGACTCCAGTCAAAGTTTTGGGCCTGGGTTGTCTCTCCTTCATCCAGGGTTGTGCTTTGGTACTGGTGTTATCTCCTGATCAGGATGCTGTTTTGCGCTTGTGCCCTGTCTCCCTGACTATACACTGACTGGGCCAGGGCCTGGGTTATGTCTCCCATGGCTGTAGATGCTGACTTGCACCCTTCCTCCTCCCCCAGGGTCATTTCTGGGCCCTGCATCCTCTCTTCCTGCTCTGTGTTCTATCCAGACCTGTGTTATTTAGAGTGCTGTCAGTCTCAGCCTCTTCAGGACCTTGGCTCTTTTATGGCCCTAGGGAGAAGCTGCTGCTCGAATTGGAGTTTGGGGAACCCTTCCATCCCCACCCAGCCCTTGATGTTGGGGCATAGTTGAGGCCTGGGGACAGAGTCAGTGTGCCTGGAGATGTGAGGTGATGAGGATGGACACGTGATGAGGGTGTGATTTCAGGCCCAAGGTGGGCTCCTGGAGTCAGTCCAGGCTTCTGGCCCCTTCCCCTCCCTACCTCTCTCTCTCTCACCTCCCTCAGTCGCTCACTCTCCATGCATTTCTCTTTAACTGTCCACTAATGTCTTCCCCTCTGCCCCCCTCCACCCCTGCCTGGCTTCCCCTCCAGCAGAAGGCAGACCTGGCTGTGGCCGCCTTCACCATCACAGCCGAGCGAGAGAAGGTCATCGACTTTTCCAAGCCCTTCATGACCCTGGGGATCAGCATCCTCTACCGAGTGCACATGGTATGGTTCCGCTGGAGACCGTGGGCTGATGGCCTGGCATGGAGGCTCAGGGCAGGGGGCTATGAGTGGGAGCCAGACTCCCCCAGGACCTCAGATGGGCCGGTGAGGTTCCCAGGTCCCTGGTGGGGCAGGGGCTGGGTGTGAGGCTCAGGCCAGGGGTGGCTCTGGGTCTCACTCCCTCTCCCTGTAGGGCCGCAAGCCCGGCTACTTCTCCTTCCTGGACCCCTTCTCCCCTGCCGTGTGGCTCTTCATGCTTCTTGCCTACCTGGCTGTTAGCTGTGTCCTGTTTCTGGCCGCCAGGTGAGTCTACTGCTTACTGGGAAGGAAGGGGCTGGAGGAGACACAAGCCAGGGCCTCTGGGACCAAACTGCACAGTCTCTCTCGGAACCTTCCTTGGCCTTCCCTTCAGGGCCTCAGATTCCCTATGCCCTCCTTTCTTGATTTTGTGCCCTGTGTCTGGGTCTCATTCTTCCTCTTGTGGCTCTGACTTGGGCTTTGTGGTTCAGTGTCTGGGTCGCTCCCCTTCCTACTCTTCCTGCCTTTTTCCTCTTTTGCCTCCTCCCTTCTCTATTTCTCTCTGTGCATCTCTGTCTGTGTCTCTGCCTCTTCTGTCTCTATCTCTGTGCGTCTCTCTCTGCCTCTTCTCTGTGTGTCTTTGTCCGTCTTCCTCCTTTTTTCCTTCTCTTCCCCTTCTGATCACCGTAACTTTGCCTTTTTCTTTTGCTTCTCTCCTTTTCCTCCTTACCTGGGCCCTGGGCCCCATCCACTGCTTCATGTCTCTCCACAGGCTGAGCCCCTACGAGTGGTATAACCCGCACCCGTGCCTGCGGGCGCGCCCCCACATCCTGGAGAACCAGTACACGCTGGGCAACAGCCTGTGGTTTCCCGTGGGGGGATTCATGCAGCAGGGCTCGGAGATCATGCCCCGGGCACTGTCCACGCGCTGTGTCAGCGGAGTCTGGTGAGAAGCTTTCTATCTGCCTCTGCTTGGGCCTGGGGAGGGACCCTTCTGAGGCCTGGAATGGGTTAGGGCATCTCCTGGCGAATTTGATTCCCTATTTTCCCCTGTAGAGCTGTGTGACTCAGAATGGGGTTGGGGGCAGCTGAGCTCCAGTTCTGCCACTCACTGGTTGTGTGAGCTTGGCCAGGCCTCACCCATCCCCTGCCTCAGTGTCCTTCCCTGAAAGATTGGGAGAAAGATGCCCACATCTCAGGGTTGTGAGGATTCATTGAGGCTGCTGAGGAAGAGTGCTCTGTGAGCCCAACAGCCTTGTGTGGGCAGGAGAGGTACGATAATAACAAGATCAGTGTCGCTGTCTTGGACATTGCCCTGGTCATCATAGGGACATAGAATCTCTGAGCCAGGACAGCCTTCACTGCCTAGATGTTTTCTCAAAGTCGCATAGGGGCCCAGTATCTCAGACAGAACTTCTTTGCCCCTGTCCCAAGCTCCAAGAAACTACATGTCAGAGAGCAGACACCCACAGCTTATGGTGTTTGGACAACAGGGTTGTTATTTTGAGACAGAGTTTCCCTCTGTCACCCAAGCTGGAGTGCAGTGGCACTGTCTCAGCTCACTGTAGCCTCCACCTCCCAGGCTCAAGCAATTCTCCTACCTCAGCCTCCTGAGCAGCTTGGATTACAGGCATAGGCCACCACCCCTGGCTAGATGTGTTTTTAGTAGAGACGGGGTTTCACCATGTTGGCCAGGCTGATTTCGAACTCCTGACTTCAAGTGAGTTACCCACCTTGGCCTCCCAAAGTGCTAGGATCACAGGTTTGAGCCACTATGCCCAACCTTGGCCTACAGTTTTAGAAATTAGATGCCAACACTTTGAGCAAATTCAGTCACAAATTTAGATTTCTTGCTTTCCTTGAAAATCTGGGAGATCTGGCAGCGCTTGGCTGGCATTCCTGCCTGGTATCACAATCTGCTCCCATCCACCCCCGTTCCCACTGCCCACTGCAGTCGCCTGCTGGCCTGGCCTCTGTAAGCATCCACATTTGCTACCCTGGGCTTTAAATAGCAGCTAAACTTGGTTGCTGTTCCTGCAACTCTTCTCACCTCCTGTTTCTCAGGAGAACCACGGAAAGCCAAGGAGAATGCTTAAAACAGGGAATATCCTCCCTGTTTACGGATTAGGAGACTGAGACCCAGAGAGAAGGAGTGGCTTGCCAAAGACTGTGTGTCAGCTAGAGGCAGGGCCGGGACCAGACTCCTTTCCCCGTGCCAGGGGGTCCTCAACACTGCCCATGCCCAGCGCAGCCCTCAAGGCCCTTGGGTGCCTCTCTAGGGCAACCCCAGGTATCTGGCCTTCTTGAGGAACACTCTTCCTCACCTTCACACCACAGAATTCACTCACTATAGTCATTCTTTTACAGGAAAGGGTCTCTATCCAGACCCCAATAGAGGGGTCTTGGATCTTGCATAAGAATTCAGGGCAAGGCCATAACGTGGTAGCGTGTTTATTAAGAAAGTAAAGGAATAAAAGAATGGCTACTCCGGCCACGCATGGTGGCTCATGCCTGTAATGCCAGCACTTTGGGAGGCTGATGGGGGTGGATCACCTGATGTCAGGAGTTCAAGACCAGCCTGGCCAACATGGCAAAACCCCGTCTGTACTAAAAAATACAATTAGCTGGGTGCAATGACAGGGGCCTGTAATCCCAGTTACTCAGAAGGCTGAGGCAGGAGAATTGCTTGAACCTGGGAGGCAGAGGTTGCAGTGAGCCGAGATTGTGCCATTATGCCATTACACTCCAGCCTGGGAGACAGAGCAAGCAGCTGTCTCAAAAAAAAAAAAGAAAAAGAATAGCTACTTCAATTGTCGCTTGAACTTGGGAGGGGGAGGTTGCAGTGAGCTGAGATCTCACCACTATACTTCAGCCTGGGCAACAGAGCGAGATAAGTAAGTAATAAATAAATAAGTAAATAAATAAATAAAAGAATGGCTACTACATAGACAGAGCAGCCCCGAGGGCTGCTGGTTGCCCATTTTTATGGTTATTTCTTGATGATACGCTAAACAAGGGGTAGATTATTCATGCCTCCCCCTTTTAGACCACATAGGGTGACTTCCTGACATTGCCATGACATTTGTAAGCTGTCATGGCACTAATGGGAGTATAGCAGTGAGGGCAACCTGAGGTCACTCTCATGGCCCTCTCAGTTTGGGTGGGTTTTAGCCGGCTTCTTTACTGCAACTCATTTTGTCAGCAGGGTCTTTGTGACCTGTATCTTGTGCCAACCTCCTATCTCATCCTGTGACTTAGGATGACTTAACCATCTAGAAATGCAGCTCAGTAGGCTTCAGCCTCATTTTACCCAGCTCCTATTCAAGATGGATTTGCCCTGGTTCACACACCTCTAAAAATTCCACAGATGCCTGTTGAGCATCTGTGTGCCAGGCAGTCAGGTAAAATCAGCCCTATCCCTGCCCTGGAGGGGCGGAGGAGCCAAGAAGAAACAAACAGATAAATCAACACTGGACATCCTATTGTATTCAAAGAATAGGTCCCAAAGATATTATCTAATTTGTACCTTTTTCAATTCAAGACTAACCTTAATAGGTGGCAGGTTTTCCCCTTCTCTTAACTAAGTGGAACTAGCTGCAGTGTGGCAGGCATTAGCGATTCACCTGGTCCACTGGCTTGGACACTTGTGAGTTTTGATAGTTTTTTTTTCTTTTTTATGGGTTTTTTTTAATGGTTTTGGATGGGCATCATTTCAAATTATACCCCTGTAGAGGATCGATTGAGCCCGGGATGTTGAGATTACAGTGAGCTGTGATCACGCCACTGCTGTGATCACTCCAGCCTGGGTGACAAAGCGAAGCGGTTTCAAAAAAAAAAAAAATCACAAAAATACAAAAAATCCAATGAAAGCCCTATTCATTTCCTATTGCCACTACAAAAAATTACCACAAATTTAGTGGCTTAAAACAATACACATTTATTCTCCTATAGTTCTGGAGGTTGGAAGTCTGAAATAGATCCCAGTGGGCCAAGATCAAGTTCTTGGCAGGGCTGGTTCCTTCTGGAGGCTCTAAGGGAGAATTTGTTTCTTTACCTTTTCCAGAGTTCAGAAGCCACTTGTATTCCTTGGTTCATGGCCCCTTCCTCCATCTTCAGAACCAGCAGTGTAGGATCCACAAATCTCTCTCTCTAACTTCCTTCTTCCACTCATAAGAACCCTTATTTCCTTTGGGCCTTCCTTGATTATCCAGAGTAATCCCCCCATATCCAGATCCTTAACTTAATCACAGTGGCCAAGTCACTTTTTGGAAGTAAGGTCACGTCTTCACATGTTCTGGGGATTAGGACAGAGACGTCTTTGGTGGTGGTAGGCAGGGCCTATTCTGCCTGCCAAGTGAGATGTACTAAATTTTCCATATAATGATGTTGCAGATGCACATAAAGTGTGCTATTGAGGAGCCAACCAGGATACAGTAATAGAACAGTAGAGTATGGGGGTGGTCAGAGAAGGGCCCCCTGATGAGGTGAACTGGGTTGAGTCCTAAAGGCAGAAACAGAGTCATCCATGCCAAGGAGAGGGAGGAACATTCTAAACAGAGGGAGAGAGCCAGGTATGTGAGGTGCTGAGAGGGTGCCCAGGAGACCTACTGTGACAAATCTGGTCACGTCCCCACAGTAAGGTGGGGGGCAGACTAGTGCAGGCCACTGCTTCTGCCACCTGGCCAGTGGCCCTCTTCCTGAGGGTAACACTCTCCAGCCAGCTGTTTTCTGCCCCTTCCCATCAGTGTCACCCAGACAGCCCCCACTCATGTCCCCTCCCTCATCAGAGCCTTTGGCCCTGGGGCCCACTCTCTTCTGCACCCAAAGTCCTCCCACACATTCACTCATTCAGCAGATGTTTGTAAATCTTCAGATGTGACGCAGCACCATGACTCAGCAGGCCAGTCTCCGCCCTGGTGGGACTCACGGTCCAGTGGGGGAGGTGGGGTTTGGTGCCATCACCCTTGGGGACTTGGCTGGTAGCTGACATACAGCAGCTGGGCCCCTTCTCTTCAGTGCCCCCTCAGCGCACAGCCTCCTGCAGCCGAACCTGAGAGCTTGTCACTATTCAGGACAGCTCTGCCTTGGGAGTCAACATGTTTTTTTCCTTTTTTTTGAGACAGAGTCACTCTGTCGCCCAGGCTGGAGTGCCATGGCACAATCTCGGCTCACTGCAACCTCCACCTCCTAGTTTCAAGCAATTCTGCCTCAGCCTCCCGAGTAGCTGGGATTGCAGGCGTGCACCACCTTGCCTGGCTAATTTTTGTATTTTTAGTAGAGATGGGGTATTGCCATGTTGGCCAGGATGATCTTGAACTCTTGACCTCAAGTGATCCACCAACCTCGGTTGGCCTCCCAAAGTGCTGGGATTACAGGTGTGAGCCACTGCACCCAGCTGGGAGTCAATATTTCTAAGGTTTCACTGTGACCATGGTCCCTGTCCCTCCTGACTCTCCCTTGGTCACTTGGTGCGTGAGTCCTCTGATCTCCCTTTCCATTCTGTGAGCCTTCCTGCTTTCACTCGTCCATCTCCAGGTGGCTCCTAGGCTGTCTCTGCAGCCATTGTCCTCAACTTTTCCTCAGGTCCTTCTTTCCCCACGCCCTCCTGGCCAGAAAACCCCAAAATCTCAGATCTAGCCAGTAGCTTGTCTGTGCCCCCTTAACCCCAGCTGTACCAGGGGCACATGCAACCCCTTATCCATACCTCCAGTCCCTCTCTTACCTCCAGGCAGCATTTGCCCGGTTGGTCACCCTTCTAGAAACTCCTTGCTTCTAGGCTCTGTGTCTTCCTGGTTTCCCCCAACCGCTCTCATTCTCTTTCATTTGCTGTGGGTTCCTTCTGCCCTTGCCACTCCTCATATGGGGCGTCTTGCTCACACCAGTGAGTTTTCAGTGCTTGCAGATCCAGTACCCTCTTTTTATAACAAATATTTTAAAATATGTCCT